TGTTTTAAAATATTAAAAATTCAGAATTAGTAATAATTTGTTCACATGGGATCCGGAATTCAAAATCAAATAATATTATTAAAGTATTTTAAAGGTGTTAAAATTCAGTCAATAATGATAGACCAGATATTAGTAAATACTATTCATGTGATATAAAATTTATTGTATTATTTATGTGATACTATGCTGCATTTATTGTTATACAGGGTTTAATTATTCTTATTTACTACATTTTATTTTAAATTTGAAAATTTAAGGTATATCGTTATATAAAAATGAAATAAAAATTAGTTATAAAAATATAAATAAAGTATTTGTTGACTGCAATTAGAGAATGTTTTTCAATCATTTAGAAAGATGTGTTTCAGGACTGATTGTACGGTTGAATGGTATGTATGTTGTAGTGAATAGAGTAGGTCTGTAGAGATGCCAAATGCAGAGACAGTGGATGTGTTTAGTGTTGATCCGTAGTCTCCCTCTACAGGACTGGGATGTAGTGAGAATGTGTGTAATATTCTTGTATATAAAAATCGATTAGAATATAGAGAATATACGATAATATTGTAGAGAATGTTGACCACAGACTGAGTCACTTTTGCCCAATACTTGGCAATAGAGAAATGAACAAAATTTATCCGCAGAGCATAATATTTATTGAATTGCAAGTAATTGTGTGAATGATCTCAATAAACACTATAATCACTAAACTCTGCTCTTTATTAAACCATTTATTCGATTATTAATATATAATTTTTTTGTAAAAACCAAACAACAAATGTTTAAAAATGAAATTCTATTGATTTTTATAATAATTTACTTCTAATTCATTAATAAATTTCATAAAATATTTTTATGTTGTTATATTCATTAAATGTTGAATTTTAGTCAAAGCTCTTGTAAGCTTTGTTTAAATTAATTAATTAATGTATTTCACATTTATTAGTTTAAATTTTAAATAATTATTAGAAATTTTGAAATTATGTGCGGATTAATGGAAAACAGATACAGATATGACTCTCAAGTGAATCCAATTCTCTGAAGGTATGCATTGCTCTATCACTTCCTCGTCAATAATATCATTCATTTTGTGCTCATTTCTCAGTTAATCACTTTTCTTATTCATATTATCCCTGATTAATTTGTATATATTACCTAATATCTCTATTTTGTAATATTTTAATGCAATCAGAATTTTTTAAATGTATAATTGGATTCTGTATATTCCGTATACATGACTTCATTTTATGCCCCATTTGTTTAATTCTTGTTTTATGTTTGATTTAATTTACAACTAATACGAAGATATTTCGCAGATTTCGTAATGAATTTTTAATTATATGAAGATTTTGAACAAATAATATATTTATTTATAGTCAACATAAGAATCCAAAGATTGCATTTGTTTTATTAGACTTGCCTTTCATGACAACAGTAACTAAGGTCTAAACCCAATATTGAACACACAATCGACTGAATTCCTCGAACACAGGTTCTCAACTGTATTGCCTACCACTGGCCCACAATCCGACGCTAGACAACAGTTTGTAATGACGACCCGTTTCAATGAGGAAGAGGACTGCGTTCCGCCACTATTCCGTCCCTTCACTCGGGAGTCACTCGCGGCCATTGAGGGCAGGATTGCTGAGGAAACTGCCAGACGGACCGCTCAGCTCGAGGTTCACACTCTTTCTCATATCTATCACTATTTCATTCACAATTCACATCACCTCAGCTATGGTTACTTTCCTACTATTCTTTACTATTACCTGACATTTTCAAATACATTGCAATAAATACAAATCGAGAATAACTTACATTTTCTAAATTAATTCAATAAAGAGCACAGCATTACATTCCGCTATATTTCCATCAGTATGTCATAGATATGTCCATAGGCTGAAAACATTACGGTATTAGCAAATGAGCTGAACTTTCTCAGAATAGCACCGAAGGAGTTGCAGGATCACTCTCATCTCAAACATATATAAACAATTTTGATAACATAATATTTTTGTTTTATTCTAGGAAATTGTATGGTTATGTTTAATGAGAATATATTAGACTATTGACACTTACAGTAACACATTTATACTATTAAACAGAGTGATACATACATTGCTCCTCATCACGTCGACACTCTCAAACCTGACCCTATGCTGGAGGCTGGCCTACCTCTGCCCCGAGCACTTCAACGGGAATTTCCTCCTGAACTCATTGCAACGCCAATTGAAGACCTCGATAAATATTATGAGAACAAAATGGTAAGTCCTTGACATTCACACCATATTTGTATCATTTGTCACATTTTCTCTCAAATCTTAACAATAGTTTTTATTTATTGTATTTTACTCTTATACTAATCTACTCTTATATAGTCTACTACTAAAATGAATATTTTAATATTTACATTTTATTTCTCATGACAAATCATATTTTACTCCACTATTCAGATAATTTAGTTTAAATACGAAATCTAAAGAAATTGACAAATATTGCATTTATATATAAATTAAGATTTGAATAGAAAATCAATAACAAGAATATTCATTGAATAAACGTTTATTAATAATATGAATAATTGAAAATAGTGCTCAAAATATAAGATAGTTTTGTAAAGTAATTCTTGAAAATAGGAAATTATTGTTCATTTGTTGTAATTAATTATTTCCGTGACTTTGTTTTCACTTATAATATGAGTTATAATAATTAAAATGAATTTAAAGAAAAAAGTATTTCTCGTCCAAAGCAATAACATTAATGTAGAAAATGTATAAAATATGAATTTAGTGAACAGAAAAGGTGTGTTGAGTTGACTAATGAAAACATTGAAGCATTCATTCCATGAGTAAAGCTATTAAAATATAACTGCAAATATTACTCCACTTTAATACAGACTGAATGCAAAATATTATTAACGTCTATATTATTGAATCACAAATTATAAATGATTTCAATATTATTACGGTTTGACTTGTGGTCAAAATTGTATTGATTATAACTAATAGATAATATAAATCAATAATTTCGGCACAAATATTATATAAATCGATGTTTCGAGAAATACTAATATTTGCTTAAATAATATCAAACACCTATTTATAGTAATAACGCTTTCTATTAGAAATAACTTAATTTTAATCTTTAGATCAAATAAATGCCTTTTGCTTGTAAATTAATATTTATTTCAATATATTGTTTATATTTTTAGTTTTTATATGCAATATAAACTTTTAGTCACTATTTATTGTTAGAATATTTTTGATATAATAATTTACTTGGATAAACTATTATTAATTTTTAAAACTAATTTACTTATTTATTAGCAATAAATTGTCAATTTATAGATCAATTTATACACTTATAGATTGTTTATTTAATATAAACATTTACCATATCGTTGTTTATAATAAAGATCTTTAAGTGCATCACAAAAGATAGTATGTTTCCATCCATTTAGCTTTAATATGAGTTTTATGAAAGCAATAATTAATAATAACACTTCTCATAAGATTATATTTTAGAATTTTGTTTTCCAAAATAAAATTTGAGCTTTTATACAACTACCGGAATTACAGAATAGCTTTTATTTACCGTAGTTTACCGTAATATAATGTATATCTTTTGCTAATAAAATTATTTTTCAAAATATAATTTGTTTTTATAATATAATATTTGTTTTATTTTCATTCATACAATAATATGTTAATATTTTTATTTTAAAATATTCAGTTTAGAATTGAATCTTTGCTAAATAATATATATATATATATATATATATAATATTGTTTCCTTTTAATGGTGATATTAAATTAAAATAATCGATTTAAAATAGTGTGGTTACATTTGTAATACATTTGTTGTATGAGAAATTTCATGGTATTATTTTATAAAAACAATTTAATATTTTAAGACTATTTTTAATATAATTAGTATTTATTAAATAAATTTTATAAATTTTAAATATTTGTAAATACTGTATAAATAAATACTAATTTTATTAATATGAGAATAATGTTATACAGTAATACAGATATAAACTTATTCAAATTAATATACAATAAAAACCATTATTTTTTATTTTAATTGGTTTTGAATGAATATGCTAACAATAAAAATGAACATTCATTTATTAATGAATAGTACCTTATTGTTTTTAAATTAGAATTAATTTATATATTATTTATATTTATAGAATAATTATATAATAATTCTTTCATTTAAAAAAGATTTC